TTACAGAAGAAATTAAGGGTGGAATAAAGAAATTTATAGAATCAAATGAGAATGTAGTCAAAACAGCCTGGTACTGGTACAACAACAGATACATAGATCAATGGAACAGAATTGAGAATCCAGACGTAAACTCATCCACCTACAGAATTGAGAATCCAGATGTAAATTCATCCACCTATGAGCAGCTGATATTTGACAAAGGCCCAAAGTCATTAATTGGGGAAAAAGACAGTCTCTTTAACAAATGGTGGGCAGAACTGGATATCCATCTGCAAAAAATTGAAACAACAACCATACCTCACACCATGGACAAAAACTAACTCAAAATGGATCAAAGACCGAAACATTAAATCTAAAACAATAAAGATCATGGAAGAAAAAATAGGGACAATGTTAGGAGCCCTAATACATGGTATAAACAGAATACAAACCATAACTAACGATGCACAAATAGCAGAAGCAAAGCTAGACAACTAGGAGCTCCTAAAAATCAAACACTTATGCTCATCAAGACTTCACCAGAAGAGTAAAAAGACAACCTACGGACTGGGAAAAAAACTTTGGCTATGACAAATCCAATCAGGATCTAATCTCTAAAATCTACAAGATACTGCAATACCTCAACAACAAAAAGACACATAACCCAATTAAAAAATGGGCAAAGGATATGAACGGGCGCTTCACCAAAGAAGTCATTCAGGCAGCCTAACAGACACATGAGGAAATGCTCATGATCATTAGCCATTAGAGAAATACAAATCAAAACTACAATGAGATACCATCTCGCCCCACCAAGGCCAGCATTAATCCAAAAAACATAAAATAATAAATATTGGCGAGGTTGTGGAGAGTCTGGAACACTTATACACTGTTGGTGTGAATGTAAAATGGTACAACCACTTTGGAAATCGATTTGGCACTTCCTTATAAAGCTAGAAATAGAAGTACCATACGATCCAGCAATCTCACTCCTTGGAATATATCCTAGAGAAATAAGAGCCAACACATGAATAGATACAGGCACACCCATGTTCACTGCAGCAGTGTTCATGATAGCAAAAAGATGGAAACAACCTAGGTGCCCATCAACGGATGAGTGGATAAACAAATTATGGTATATTCACACAACAGAATACTACGCAACAATAAAGAACAATGATGAATCCATGAAACAACATGGAGGAATCTGGAAAGCATTACACTGAGTGAATTTAGTCAGTCACAGAAGGACAAATATTGTATAAGACCACTATTATAAGAACTCAAGAAAAGCCTGAAACACAGAAGAAAACATTCTTTGATGGTTACAAGCGTGGGGAAGGAGCAAGAAGGGTATTCACTAGCTAGATAGTAGACAAGAATTATCTTAGGTGAAGGGAAGGACAATATACACTACAGGGGAAGTCAGCACAACTGGACTAAACCAAAGCTAAAAAGTTTCCTACAGCCAAACACTTCAAGGGACAGAGTAGCAGGGGCGGGGATCTGGGGACCATGGTTTCAGGGGACATCTAGGTCAACTGGCATAACAAAAACTATTAAGAAAATGTCCTGCATCCCCCTTTGGTGAGTGGCGTTTGGGGTCTTAAAAGCTAACGAGCAGCCATCTACGATGTATCCATTGGTCCTAACCCACCTGGAGCAAATGAGAATGAAGAATACCAAAGACACAAGGAAAGGATTAGCCCAAGAGACAGAAAGGGCCACATAAACCAGAGACTGCATCAGCCTGAGACCAGAAGAACTAGATCGTGCCCAGCTACCACCAATGATCGCCCTGACAGGGAACACAAAAGAGAGTCCCTGATAGAGCAGGAGAAAAGTGAGGTGCAGAACTCAAATCTAGTAAAAAGACCAGACTTAATGGTTTGATTGAGACTGTAGGGACCCTGGAGGACATGGCCCCTGGACTCTCTGTTAGCCCAAAACTAAAACCATTCCTGAGGCCAACTCTTCAGACAAAGATTAGGCTGGACTATGGGACATAAAATGATACTTGTGAAGAGTGTGCTTCTTAATTCAAGTAGATACATGAGACTAAATGGGCAGCTCCTGTACAAAGGTGAGATAAGAAGGCAGAGAGGGTCAGGAGCCAGTTGACATGGGAATTCCAGGGTGGAAAGGAGAAGTGTGCTGTCACAGTATAGAGAGAGCAACTAGGGTCACATAACAATGTATGTATAAATTTGTGTATGAGACTAACTTGAATTGTAAACTTTCACTTAAAGCACAACAATAAAAACATTTAAAAAAAAAATGCCCAATAGAACACAGATCAATGAGGAAGAGGAACATACACGTGGTTTAAAACCTTCACAAGAACAACTCACTCCTCTATTTAAGAGTTCCAATAAACTCCTCTTAGTCACTGTGGACTTAGAACAATGTCTTATGAACAACCTCTGAGAATGTAACTAATTCATAAATAGAGGTAATTCTATATGCATGAGGTGATGCTGCAGCTAGCAGTCAGTCAATCCAGTAGTAATAAAAATATTAACATGGACCACCAGCAGGATCTTCCCTGCAACAGAATGCTCTGTAGAAACACTAAACCATAACCATAGCAATAATAATATTTTCTTCCATTTATATCATCTTAGTTTGCTTTTCAATCTGGAGGCATAAACAAAACTATTCATTAAATTTCTTCACAAATATTAATTGCCTTCAATTCCTCAACAAAAACTGAATTATATCAAAATCCTTCCTTCGCATTTTAAAGGAACAAATGAGACATGTTATTTCTAGGCAACTAACTTCAATGATTAACCATGAAAAGGAATAAACTTCCTTGTCTTAAAATAAGGTTGTATTTTTTTCTGTGTAGTGTCTCCTTTGTCTAAAACCAAACTGATTCTTTCTCCAGGCTATAAACCAAGAGTAGAAAAGCTACACATAGTTGGGCAGCCCCAAAATGGGTTCATATTACTCATACAGTAAATGAATTTCTGAAATGAATTGCCAAAGGATATGTCATCCGTATTTATCTGCAATAAATCAAACATAATTTCAACAAATATCAAAAATTATTCCAACTTCATCATAAGCACAAAGCACATTTCTCAAAAAGAATAGTACTGCCTATTCAAAAATGGCTAGAGACAAAAAAAGGCCCCAACCAGCCACTGAAAGGAAGTGCCTCAAGGGAGCACCTAATTAGTTTGGGAAAAATATCCTGGAGAAGAAGGAGAAAACCCTAAAGCAAATTACCCCCGACAAGATGTTCATGCCCTTCCTCTTCACGAATGCTATTTAGAAAGAGGAGGAAAGAACACTCATCTGTGAGAAATCTATGCATTCTGTAATTGTCAAAAGGACCCTTTGCAGAAAATTAGCTTACTGTCTAGAATTTTAAATTATGCCTCTGCTCCACCTTTCTTTCCTCCTTCAAAGTGTTCAGTGTTATAAAATTTTGTGGGAAATGTGGCATTTTAGGTTGGTTGCTCAACGGATTATAATGGAGGAAGCACTTGGATATAAAGAAAAAAGTGAAGGGAAAGACAAACGTCTATCTCCTGCTATCTATACAGACGAAAGCTGCTATAGGAGTTCCATTCTTTGTTCCTTTCACCCACCCCCTCTACTTACAAAATAAGTGTGAAGAAGTAATTAGATTCTGAACATTTTTTCTTTGTAGAGAGTGACTGCTACTCTGAAAAAAAACTTCAAAAGATCTATATACTGAATTACTTATTTTACTCAATATTTATTTTAAAATCAACTTATAGGTGAAAATACTTTAAATGTATGATTATTTTTATTGATCTAGTCCCAAGATTGAGAAGTCTTTTGTTCTATTAAACCTCTTTAGGTAGAAGAATTTAGCCTATGAACTTAACCATCATAATACTGATTTGCCCTGTAATTAACACGACCACCCCAACCACCTAGTGAAATTCTTGTATCTTATACAACAGAAAGTTATATATGCCATAAAAAGAAGCCTACAGAGGGAATCTGAATAGTTTTAAATTACAAGAAAGAAAACAAATAACAAAGACTAGCGAGGCCTTCAGTTTAAAGCCTTCATGTTTATTTTTTAACTTACCATTGCAGTAAGGATTGGACGGATTAAAGTTCATTGGAAATTCATGTGATACCTGTCAAAAGATGAAAGAAAAACTGATGAAGCCTGTTTTGCTTTTCCAGGAGGCAATGCTTTTTAAAAATGAGATTTTCTCTTACCTGCCACTGAGGAGGTATCTGAGCACCAAAACCAAAAGCTGGAAACATCTTATCACTGAAAAGAAAATTTGAAAAAAAGTAAAATGTTATTTTTTTTTAAATATAAAGAGCTTTATCTTTACAGACAATAAAACCAATATAAGCTCATTTCAAAATAACTCAAAATCTTAGAAAAGTATAAAAATAAAACAAATTACCTGTAATAACAACCCTCAGAGAGAACCAACGTTAATATTTGGCAACTCTCATTCTAAACATTTTTCTGGATATTGAAGAAAAAAATGTCTCTATATATTTTATAAAAATGGAGTTCATATTCATGTTTTATAACCTACTATTTTCTACTTAAATACTATGTATCATTTCACTGAATAAATATATAAGTAAATCCAAAAAGCCCTAAAAACCACAAGTTTTTTTATTAGTTTGCAGAAAATTCATTTGGCAGTAAAACGTGAACTCAATGACGTGTAGTTATTTATAGCCTTTATGCCACTTAATGTGAATATTTGTGTATTTTGCCACAGGAACATGGTACAAATGCCATATACTATAAAACTCCCACACTGCTATACAAATATTCATATAGCAGCAAAATAGATGAATATTTGGCCCCAAGGTTTTAGGGATAAGGGATTGTGGACCTGAATATACAACATCATGTGAATGGCTGCTAAGTATTCCACTGCGTGTATATACCCCTCAACTGATATACATTCAGTTAATTTCCAATGTTTTGCCATTATGAAATACTGCAATGAACACACCATTTTTTCTACGAGGGATGTTCTTTTTATATTAATTTTCAATAGTTCTTTTGGCATTAAGGATAGAACCCATGTCATATATGTCAGAAATATTTTTCCCAGTTTGTAATCTGTCTTTAACTTTCTCTAAAATATTTTCCTTTCAGAAGTTTTTAATATTAATGAATGTGAACACATTCTTTCATGATATACACCTTCACTGTCTTGCCTAAAGGCCTTCCTTACTGCAAGAGTATAAACAATTCACATATATTTTCTTCTAGAACTTTCAAGATTTGTTTTTATATTAACTTTCTCATTCATCTGAAAAGTGCTTCGGAGTAGGGTATGAAGCAGAAACTTCTGCTGTCCACCAATAACCATTCTCTCCTTCTTTAATAATAGGGCACTCAAGCTAGAGACTACAACTCATAGCTTCTCTGGGCTGGAAGTGGTTAGGTGGCTAGGGTCTGGTCAAGGAGATGTGAGTAGAAGTGATTCGTAAGCCACTTCTGAATCACACCCCCAAAACGGATTGTGCACACACTCCCAGGTTTCCACTGGCTAATGGATGAGAACCAGAAGATCAGCCTTGGACTCAAGGATGGAAGCTGTAAGTTGACAATGACAGAATCGCCCTATCAGCCTTGGATCTCTCGACATACAATATGAAACAAAATAAACCTTTATTGTTGAAGCCACTTTGTTCTGGGGTATCTATTTCCACAGTTTGGTCTGTACTCTAATTTATACAGGATAGTATCCTAACTGATTCAGGTATGAGTTAGGGATCCAGATTTATTTCTTGTCCAGTTTGACAGTGGTCACAACTCCTTTCTCCTGCCTAAAATGCCATATCTCCATCATGTACTAAATTCACATATACACTCGGGTCTATTTCTCAGCTGCCTGTTTGGTTCCACTAATCATTTATCCCGTTTATACTCTTAATTGCTATAGCTTTACAATAAGTTTTAATACCTGATAGGGAAAAATTCCCTTTCATTTCTGCATCCCCCCCAAAAAAAATTTTGACTATTCTGATTCAGTGTTCCTTCTAGATAATTTTAAGAATCATTTTGTCAGGATTCCATTGGAATTTTAATTAATACTGATTAATTCAGAGAGAAATTTTATATCATTTTTATTACAATAATTATATTATTACATTATTCTTCTATTATTACATTATTATCACATTAAATTTCCTTTTTTGTTCTTCAGTACAATCATGTAGTTTTCCTCATTAATTTTACTTTCATTTTTTATTTTTATTGCTATTATGAACTACATTTTATCCACTATAATTTTTCAAACTGGTTATTGCTAGTTAGTGAGAAATTGTTGATTTTTATATTTTATGTTGTATTTGACCATCCTTATGTACTCTCACTACTTTCTCATATTTTTTTAGTTGATTCTCCCAGGTTTCAACATGTTCCTTATAGGTTTGCTAGGATTTATGTATGAAATTGTATTAGCCTGGAATTTTTGTGACAAAGGATCTTTGACTACCTATTCCAACTTTCCATTGTTCTTGGTCTATTCAGGTTTCTGTCTCTTCAGATCAACTCTTGTAATTTACAGCTTTCTAAAACACAAATCATCCTTTAATTCAGACTTTCAAATGTAACAGCATAAAGTTTTACGGAGTACTAGCTTAAAACTTTTAAAATACTTTTCCTGTATTTATGCTTACTTATCCTCTTTCTCATTACTAATGCTCTATGCAGGTTTTTTTCTATTTCTTGAGGGTCAGTGTTGCCAAAGGTATGTCTGGATTTTATTCAACTTGCAAAGAATCATCTCTTGATTTAATTTCAAAATTTGGTGGTCTTCCTATTCCCCCCCTTTTTTTTAAATTAAATTTTCCAAATCATTACTTTCTGTGTTTAAAGGAAGTGCAGCATAATGCAGAAGTTAGAACATGTCTCTGGAACCAGAGAGCCCAGATTCGACCCAGACTCTGCCAGTTACCACCTAAGTGACACTGGGCAAGGTACTTAACCCTCCATGCTTCAGTGTCTTCACCTGTACAATGTGGATGCTAACAGTATCTTTCTCACAGAGAAGTATGAGAGATGAGTATTACACGGAAAGTGCTAAAATTGTCCGACACGTAATAGTTAACATTTATGTGGAATCTACTACTATTAGTACATCTTTATTTCTTCTTCCTATTCTTTAATTTAAAGAGCTCTGGGACTTTCGGGCAACATGGCGCTATAGACAGAAGCACCATGCCATCCCTCCACAGCAAAGATCCAAAAAACTAAGTCAAACAGAGACACACGTCAATCCTGAAACCCTAAGCATCAAATGAAGAGATAAAGAACTCAGCCAAGCTCCGAATGGAATAAGAAACTGACAGAGAACAGAGAGTGAGGAGAGATACATGCAGAGGTCCCCTATCAGCTAACGCAGCACAGATTTGCCATCTTGGACTCCTATAGGAGATCAGTGAACAGGGAGTACGAGAAAGTAGCTTCACAGAGCTTCCAGCAGGAGACAGAACAGGTAACCAGTGATATACGCTTTCCCACCCCCTACCCTTCTTCACCCCCACGCGGCCTCCTCTGCTTCCTGCGGCCACAGTCTCTTGGAGGAAAGCACTAGCTTCACCCCGGAGCTGCTTGGATTACACCTGCCAGCATTGGCCAGCTCCCTAGTGCCATTTGTTGGATGGTATTGCTTCCTTCCACTTCTTTAGATTTCTTCCTTACATCTCACCACCTCCCCCTCCTTTCTCTCAAATACCTGGCTCCATGTGCCAACGTTGCTTCTTCCTGAAAGGCTGCGAAACACGGCTCGACTGTGAAACCACTTCCCGGCCAATGCCGCCACACTGGTGGGAAGCTCGTAGCTTTTGTTTATTTGTTCTCATTTTTCCTGTATTGATTTGTTTGTTTTCTTTTTCTTTTCTCAGCTGGGGAGCCCCTTCTAGCCAAGCAGTACTATGCAGCCTGGGAGTTACTCCCTTACTCTGCACAAACACGCAGTGGCATCCCAGGGGCATTTGTTTTCTTTTACTTTTGTTTTTTATTTATTTCTTTATCTTGTTTTATTCTCTCTCTTTTTCCCTTTTTGTCTTCCTTCATATCTCAGTTTCTCATCTCCCTATACTTACCTTCTCTTCCTGTCTCCTGAATACCTGGCGCTGTATGGCACCTCTATCCCTTCTAGCCAGGCTGCAATTCACAGTCTAGGAGCAACTTCCCCAGTCCTCGCACCTGCACTGGAGGAATCCCGGGGGGTACTTTATTTTTCTTTTTTAATTTTTATTTATTCTGTTTTTTTTCTTTTACCTTTTTTCTTTTTCCTTTTTGTTCTCTCTTCATTACTCAGTCTCTCATCTCTCCACTCCAACGGCAAGCTCCCTTAGCACTCTTTTTCGTTTCCTTGTTTGTTTATGCATATGTTTATGCGTTCCTCTCTCCTCTCTCTCCTCTTCCCCATACCCATCTTAGATTCACACATCACAATGTCCCTCCTCCTTCCAGCCTACCTGCACCATGTGCTGAACATCACAACGCCAAGCAGCACAGGCACGGCCTACAGGAACCTCCCCTGCAATGATTCGTGGCCCGCCTTGTCGGCCCTAGTACATGCCACAAATAACCCATCCCAGCAACTCCCCTTCAGCTGGACCTGCCATGCTGTACCATACTCAAGCGACAACCCTGCCCATTGGTGAAGGAGGTGAAAAGTATCGTGCCTACAAACGAGCAAACAACAAAAAGCGCATGGCCTGCCTGCTCAGACATAACCAAATAAAACCAAAAAGCAGGACTAAACAAACAAATCTATAATTAATAAATGAGGAAAATAACTACCGTATGCCCCGAACACAGCAGACAATATCAAAACATATACAATAACAGGACAGGATGGTTCCAGCAGGCATCCAAAATAAAACACCAGATGACTTTCCAGTAGAAGAAAGGGCACTAGAGCTACCTGATGGGGAATTCAATTCTCTATTCACAGAAATCCAAGAGTTGAAGCAAAAAGCAGACAAAAATGAGGAAAAAAATGGACAAATTCATGGAAAATACAGATTAAAAAAATGGAAGAATTCAAGAAAATAATACAGGAACAAAATGCTAAAATAAATTCAAAACTAGAAATCATACAAAAAACAAAAATTAGAAATCCAAAAGATAAACAACAAGATTTCAGAAATGGACAGTGTCACAGAAGGGTCAAAGAGCAGGTTTGAAATGATAGAAGACAGGATCAGCGAAATTGAAGACAAACACTCGGATACAACTCTCTTTGAGGAAAAATCAGAAAAAAGAACAAAGAAAAA